TAAAACAAAATAATTTTTTTAAAATAAAAATAACGGGGAGGAACTTTAAAAAGAGTGCCCAAAATTTCCAGCCCCACGCATTTAGGGAAAAAAAAAATGAACCAAAAACTTTGGGAAAAGACCCCAAAACCGGGGGGGGAAAGGAAACGGAGGGATATGTTATTTAAAAAAAAATTTGATAATAAAAAGGGGTAATCCCCGGGAATTTTTAAAAGAAAAAGGGGGTGAAGGGGAAAAATAAGTAAGAAAAACCATTGCTTGTGATATAGCATTTATAACCAATCTAATGATATATAGTTTAATAAGTGATATTAAGATTTCCTTATGATATAGCATTTAAATATAACCTAGTGATTTATGGTATGATAAATAATATGAAGCATTCCTTGTGACATAGCATTTATTCCATGCGGTCTGGAGACCGCAGGGTATTGGTACGCGTTTAACTTTTGAGGCATGGAGGAGCACGTGACCTGTTTTCGGTACATGGAGGAGCATGTGATCTGTAAACCGTACATGATTGGTTAATTGACCTTTTCGAAAACCTAGCTAAATACCGTTTGCCGGTACGTTACGGATTTACCTGTAAAGAATTAGTCCGAATTACACCTAATTAAAAACAAAAAACTATTACGTGATATTTCTAATTTTCGATAATTATTTTACCGATTAAGGTGGAAAAACTTGAATGATGTGTTTGAAGATTATCAATCTATCTCAAATTTTACAAGCAATAAATTGTTTATACTGAAAATCTACAAAATTAAAATATTCGTAGTGGCATCTGCCATAATAAATAGAGATATTTTCTGCGTAAACTTGTGTTTACTTTATTTATTGTTTGCTCGGAATTATTCATAAAATGGTAGGCCTATTTAATCATTTTCTTAAAAAGAAATAATTGTTTTATGTTCGACCTTCTCCGGTCTTCAACGGTCACCAGTTTTCAAAGACCTTCTTCTATATTGATCGTTTATTTAATTGTCAACTATATTCCTGATACAAACGTTTATTTATCTATCCTCCCCCCCCCCCAAAAAAATAATAATGTTGAAAATAGTTAAATGAAATATCTTTATATCATTAAAATGTTCACCGCAGGAAACCATTTTACTTGTAACAAATGTAGTGAGATAAAAAAATGATATATCGCCTACGTTAAAGCATATGATATAGCACTTAAAGCGAAACTTCTGATATATAGTTCTACACATGATATAAAGCGTACTGGTTTATGAAATATTGTGTGATATCTTGCTTGAATGTGTGAAAGTATGAATATAATTAAAGGAAAACATTAAGTTATAATACAACCTAATTTTGCATAAATTGGTGAGTTTTCCCGGCATCCTTGTAGGAAACAGCGATATCAAATTTTATGTAATAAATCAAACAATGAAGTGTCAACATAAAAAACCAAAAACAACTGCCTTATTTTTAATTTAAAGACTGTCGTTTTTGGTCATTGAAAAATAAAGCAACAACCCTGAAAATTGGGTTAAGGCATTTTTTAAGTAATATATGTATTCTGGTACAAAAGGATAACATTTTTTTGTGTTTATCTTTGTTTTTAGTTAGTGTGACGATTTTGAACAAAACTTTGAATCATGACCGCAGCCTACTAGTAATGTGAATAAAAAATATCAAATGGGAAGTGTTTCAGGTTATCATTTCCTCATGTTCTTAAATTTTGAAAAAAAAAACACAAAAAAAACCGGATATACTGAGATAGCGATGGAAACTAAAAGCGGTAGGTAAACGTCTAGGGCTCCGTTTGATTAAATATGTTCAATAAGTAAAGAATCAATGATCTACTAGATCAGCGACAAAAATATTAAGTGCGAGGCTAAATTAAAATATGGAGCAGAAAATATGTATCCAAAAAGCGAGGAAAACAAGTATAAAAAAAGCGAGCACCGAAGATTCGGTTGAATTAAGTCTGCCCACCCCCCCTAATAAATGACAATGAAGCAGTTTCCACAGTTTTAGAAGCAGCAATCAAAACATGAAAACGGAAGAATAATTAAGGGATTGAATGTTTATTCAGTCAAAATTTAAAGTTAAAGCATGAATCGTTACTTTCTTACATTACGTTTACTCTTGACATTATTTCCTTAAGTTGTTTTTAAATCAACTGACCCAGTTGTATTCAGCCTAGGGAAGTTACATTTCGGTCCAGCTACGATTGGAGTTACAATCTTTACCCTTCGTGATGGAATGTTATCTCCTGTTTTGGATTGTGTAGACAGTCAGCACGGTAATAGGACAAAGATAGATAATAAACAAAGATGGTTTTGTTTCTGAATTTTACCTACGCAACACCCGAAAAAAATATTTAAAACATGTAAAAGATCATATAGTTCACGAGATAAAAGACAGTCCTTTCTTTGGAGACTACCATACATGATGTAACTAGGTTACTTTTGTGCTTAAAATCCAATTAAAAAAAAGTTTAAAAAAAAAGAAAAAAAAAGAAAAAACGAAAACACACTTTTCTTAAAAGATTTGTTATACCCAAACGATAAAGCCAGAATATTGTTAATTTCAATTCTCATTTTTCTGTTGTTGACCAAATTGCGATTTAAAACTCTGTTTAAAACATATTATCTGCAAACAATAAATATTAAGATATTAAGGTAGACCACTCCTAATGACTTTGTATCACTTTAACTTTGAAAAGTATTCAAATAGGCAAAAATCACTTGTCAATTGCATTGAAAGTGAGGGATGTGGGTTCAAACCCCCAGAAGGGGCATATCTTTGTCTTTTTTTGTCTTCATGTATCTTAGATCTCTAATGGAAGAAACAAAGTGTTTAATTTAAACATATAATTATTGTAGATATTTTTTGCTGATTATAACTAAATTTTAATTGCAAATATGATACCAGATATTTTCATACCAGAAGTTTAAGAAAATAAAAAGTACACGGTAAAAGTTGGTTATATTTTTTTTTTGCAAGATCAACCAACATACCTTTAAGAAAATTTAGGCAAACTCTTTAAACAGCCCCTGATTTTTGGTAAATTTTATGGATATTTTGAATAAGGCTTTGTATACAGGGGAATAGTCAATAAGTGTTTTAAATTGGTTGGGCAGGTTAACACTTGGGTAACACTTTTATAATATTCAAAACAGTTTGTTTAGAAACAATCATTTTGCTCGTATAATGTGTTACCTGAATGTAACTTTTTGTTTTTTACAATGAGCAATAGGGAAACATTTTTCATAATAATGATATTATGGATTATTAAGAGTTTCCTCATTTCTGAAAAAAAGCCCCTCTAATAGTAGATTTAGTTCAGAAAAAATGTCCATAACTCATAAACAACACGGTAAATTTTATTTGAATTTTGCATACAGGTGAATTTAAGGCATATAACTGTCCTTTGTTGTCATTTTTACAATTCCTTGTAGTGCCAATTAGGAGTGGTCTACCTTAAAATTGATAAATACAGAATCCCTAAAGAAAGCCCAACACGGCAAAATTGAAAATGTTGCAGGCTCGGTTTGATTGAGCCTGTTCATGGGCGGTACTGGAAAGTGCAAGTTACCGTCCACGCCCCCTAGCACCGGCTTAAGCAGAATTCAACATTTAAACGTGAAATAGTAAAATTTTGAATTTAATCTTAAAGTTAATCTTCGTACAGCCTACGTATGTTCACAATTTGAAAAGATTTATACTAAAGAAGTAAAACTTAACAAATTTGTTTAATTTAACAATTGAAGGTTATGAACTCTAGATTGTTTTATTTGCATCGATTACATTTTTTTTATCCGAGCATTCGATTGGTTACTTGAGCTATTTCTATTTTTTTCTTCCTGTTTGAATTGTCCTTTAAAAAAGTTTGCGCAAGGTACGAGGGTCAAAGGCTTTTCGATCCTTCACGAGGTAAGAGTTTAAGTTCTTTATCATCTTAACCTAATTACATTATTTACATGATACAAAAAAGATAATAAAAAATGTCACTCAACACTGTTGCCATATCTCGATTCTTGATATAGCAAACTTGCCTCCAATAATTTTAACAATTTTAGAAAAAGAGAAATATTGGAATAAACATATTATTACGTCTTGATATCAAATTGGCATTTGGCTTCACCGCTGATTTGAAATAATGTGGTGGAAAAATTAAGTGACATTAATAGATGGTTTCTTTCAAAGAAGATAAAATTAATAAAAAGGTATCCAGAAAAGCCGGTTAGGTTTATCGACAACCGATATATGATAACAAATTGCTAAAATCGGCGTAAAAATCAATCGATAAAAACAAATTTATAAGTGATTTGATGTAATTTTAAAATAATATGATCAAAGAGCAGATCTTTTAAGAGTAAGAAATGGCTTTTAATTAATTTAATGAATTTCATAATTGTCTAATTTAAGATGACACATGTTTGTCAAAACGTGTTTATGTGTGTCTTAATCATTGTCGGTGATCTTGTATAATGTGCAGACGAAATAATGATGAAGATATATATAAATTCAAAAATACTTATTTCAAGCAATATATTTTGTGTTTTATAAATGTCATCAATGAAATAATGCTTATTGTTTTGAAAACAGTTCTTAAAAGAATATTTTATTCGTGTTGCTTCATGCATTACTTTATTTATTGAACTCGTTGAAAAAATAAAATGTTTCCAAGAGGCTCGCATGAAATAATTTTATTAAAAATGTATTAAACCTATGCTCATTTAGTATTTTCTCTGAATTACATTATCTTAAATGATAAGAAAAAAGAAAACAAGATTTAAATCAATTGCCTCCAATAATATAAAAACGTGTTTATGTGTATCTTAATCATTGTCGGTGATCATGATTTCTTTGAAATATGAGTGCAACTGATCCTAATGTGCAGACCAAATAATGATGAAGATATATAAACATTCAAACATACTTATTTCAAGATATATATTTTGTGTTTTATACTCCAACATTCAGGGTAATAAATTTTGTATTTTTCCACATTCCGACATTCATGTGAGGGACTTACCACAATGATGCTTTACAAAGGTAATATTAAATATTTTACTTACTCGTTAAAATACTACAATCTTAATTTCTGATTACACGACTTTCTTCCGGATAAATTTAAATATTTTAACACTCATTGAAATAATTAAATGTACGTTTTATCTATTAAATATAAGAACTTCTTTTCAGTAACATAAAATTACATCTAATTACATTCATTTATCAATATAAGAATATCAATATAAGTGTTAATAGTTTTAAATTCTCTTTTTTAGGATTAATGCTTCTATTGGCTGCTGCCCCTGGAAATGTCGGTTTGTACAATAATTAAATTAGTGTTTCTTAATCGTAAAATAATCCAAAGTACAGTTAATTTGGTTTATTGTTACCTGTTTACTAACAGATGTTCAAATACCCCGTGCTTATATTTTGATGTGATATTATTTGCGTTATACAAACGTAACGTAAAAGCGCGCTTAATGTCAGCGCATCAATGAAATAAATGTTATTCGTGTTGCTTCATTCCTTTATTTATTGAACTCGTTGAAAAAAATAAAATGTTCCCAAGAGGCTCGCATGAAATAATTTTATTCAAAATGTATTAAACCTATACTCATTCAAAATCCTTTTTGAATTACATTATCTTAAATGATAAGAAAAAAGAAAACTAGATTTAAATCAATTGCCTCCAATAATATTAATTTTTTTTAGATTAAATAAAGGGTACAAAAAGTTATCATATCCCAAATTCTTGCTTATTATAATAAATACTTAAAAATGCGGACTCGTTAATAAAAGAATGTATCTTTTTGATATTATTTGTGTAATAACATGATACTTAATTCAATTTTTAATGTTTATATTTAAAATGATCCAATTTATTTAAAATGATGCAATTATATTTTACAGCTTCCCTGTTTTGTTATTCGTGTAGCAACGTTGAAAGAATGGACAGTTGTAAAACTGTGAAAACATGCGAAAGTGGAGAGGTATGTACACATGGGTACCTTACACTTTCAAATATAAACACGGTAATTATTTGTAATTCGTTCGTGGGATACATAAATTCAGTTAAAAGGGTATCGTGTTGGCATTATCAAATAATACTTGAAAGCGACAAAGCGAATAGCAAATATCGCTCTTGTCTCGGCGATCAATGAAGTTTGACGGACTCCACCGGGAAGTTATAAAGCAAAAAAACAACAACAACAAAAAACAAAAACAAAAAAAAACAACAACACATACCCAAAACACACACATATACACAAAGTACCCGCAGCTTTACTTCCCCTGATCAGGACTAAACATAGATACAAGCGTGACGTGACTGGTGCGAAGAGCTTGTCATGATATTGTCACGTCATTCCAAACGTTACTTAGACTATACATCAATAACATGACTTGGTTACCAAGAATATGCGTTATCTTTATTAATGTCACACAATATTCTTCTATTATTTCAAAGGATAAATACACACATATTTTTCAATATATACAATAATGATTAACGAATTATGTATGGTTTAGATATCACGTGTATTAAAAACAAGGCAGGTGCAACTACGTTCCAAAAATAGTCACACTTAAATAACTTTTGTTTAACATAAGTGTGACATCATGGCGCGTCAGATCATTATTTGTAGCAAGTAAACTGGTTATTCCCTTGTTTTCTTCTTAGTTTCGTTCAATTTTTTTTCAATGCAAGCAATTAAGAATTATCTCCGAAAGTCCTTCAACCGTGTGTGATATTATCGTTGAATTTGACAAAATGAGTTAGCTCTTTAAAAACAGATTCAAATCGAGGAAGACAACTTCAAGCCAAGTGATAGGAGTTTCTAGCAGAGTTGCCCTCGAATAAATATTAAATGTTTTTGTTTCTTACAGACGTGTTTCACGCGCTTAGAGAAGAAAGGAGATTCTGTTTCATTCACAATGGGATGTACACAAAATGAGGTAACATTTAATATTAGTACTTCAGTTCTTAATGATATCTTATGTAATTCAAAGAAAAAAATATAATGAGTAGTTACAAAAATGAAAGGCATGCTATGATGTAGTGGTCTGATAAATGTAAGTATATTGTGAGAAACAGGGGCAATGGTGTTGGTAGAAAACTCTACCGAAAACCGTTATTAAGTAATAAGAGTATTGATCATGCTTTGTCATTGAATGTTTAAAGCTCAAAAGCCCGACAACAATACTAACAACAAGAATAAATATAAGTTTGTTTTATATATCAGTTACAAATGTTTTATTTTAATGCCAAGAAATTTCTGTGTAATTGATTATCATTCTCTTTACATGAAGTTACATATCTGCATTAAGGCGCTTACCTTAAAGACAAGGCTTCAATTACATCTTTCGTATGGAAGTGTCCTTTGAATTTAAGACATCGTTGCCTTAGAACTAGTAATGGCAGCGGTAGAGCAAAGAACTTGCATGTTAATATTACTTTTGGTATATGGCAAATTGTTATTAATTATGCATTTCTTTACAGAATTGCGGTAACATACCCGTGTACAATAACGTATCAAAGTTGAGCAACGGTCAACTAATACAGGAATGTTACGAATGTTGCGGTGTTGGTCGGTGTAACAATGACTTGTGCAAATACAAAACACGTAAGTTGAATCTGTATATCATTTAAACTGAAAGTAAACAGCAACAAACGTTTGTAATTCAATTCTTTTTTTATATGTAACTTTTTTTTATTAAGTAAAAATGTAATACTGTCGGTAATCCTGACTTGTACACAAAATTAAGATTAAAAAGGGCATCAAATCTACATGGCTTAGATTTAAATTTACAAATTGTTCTCTTAAAATGGTCTATTTCTGTATTTATATACCTGTTTGCATACTTACTAACTTACCTTTTTACTTGGTCGTCAAATAAGCGCCCCCTTGCAGTGACATTCAAGATAACTGTCCATTCTGGAACGAGGCCTTCAACATATGTGAAGAGATTCATAGAGCTAAGCTAATTTGTCGTAAATTCTGCAAACTGTGTGATCTAGGTAATTATTTTTATGCCTTATCCATATTTATATAAATACTAAAATATCTTTAAAGGCATGACCTTTACTATATAATGTATAAATTTATCGTAATTGTTATAAATTACACACGTCACCAAGTATGCGTCCGATTTTATAAATAAAGAGACAATGTACATGTTCTTCAAACAAAGTGCGATCGTTTTTGTGACTCATTCACACGTTTGTTACTATTAATTCAAGTTGATGGAAACTGGGCAGATTGGTCGTCGTGGTCATCATGTGACGTTACATGCGGTCATGGAAAACACACACGCATTCGAACATGCACAAACCCTGCACCTGTATATCAAGGGCTAGATTGTAAAGGAAGCAGCTCGGACACTAAACCTTGTACTCGACCTCTATGTCCAGGTAAAAACTGCTTGCGTGTTCATTTTTCATTTAAGGTTTGTTGAATACAATCTTAAACATAGAACTTATAATTCAACGAGTTGTACTGGTTCAGTTTATAGTGTTAACGTGTTATCATATTTCAGTTCATGGGGGCTGGGCGGGATGGTCAAGTTGGGAGTCATGCCCTGTAACATGCGATATAGGAATACAGAAGAGACATCGTACATGTACAAATCCACCTCCTTTACGGCATGGCGACCATTGTTTTGGAGACACTAGTGACGTGAAACTGTGCAAACAAAAACCCTGTGATGGTACACATATTTTATTGCATAAAACAAGCAATATATATAATCATCATACACATTCTTATCAGTCTGTTAACGAAAAAGAATATTTTTGATAGATTTATTTGCACATATGATTCTTTCATGAATTTGAGCTTAACACATTCAGCTGTACAACTGTTTGCTTTATTCCGTTTTAATGATGAAATGAATATATCAAATCATATTGATATATAAAAATGCATGATTGTCACTTCGTAAAATGTTGCAAGTCTGACAAAGAATAATAAAACTTAAGTTTTCAGGTGGCAATTTATATTGAGAAATACGATTCTAGCTGTATTATGAGATACAATTACCGGCACATGCCTTTCATACACCGTTGAATTGTGTGCATTATTCTGATAGCAACCACATTGCCTGAACAAATCAAATGATAATGACATGAAATACGTACTTAAACTACCTGAATATTACTTTAATATTTTGAAAACATTTTGTAGTAACGAGTTTGAAATACTATACACTAATTATATGAAAATAAAATTTTAGCATCGAATGGAGGTTGGTCAAATTGGGTCACATGGAGTACATGTAGCGAATCTTGTGGTGTTGGAGTAAAAACCAGGTCAAGGTCATGTACAAATCCAGTCCCTGGAACTCATGGAGAGCCATGTGTTGGAGATCCTTTGCAAGTAGAAACTTGCAACGAAGAGGATTGTCGTAAGTTATCACAAATAAAATTATTCTAAGTTCTTCAGGCCCAAGAATATGTCCAATTAAATAAATAAATAAATAAAAAATAATTAAATTAAATAAATTGAATAAATAAATAAATAAATACAGGTATCAAATGTACTATTTCGTGCTAGGTTTGATGAAAAAGCAGCTTTACTTTAATTTTCCTCTGGAGACATTTGAAATAATTTGACGCCAATACGATATCAAATCCCTTGTGAAATGATAAATTTATATCAAGTTGACTATGTATTACATATGCGAACTTTTCTGAACATTTCCTGCTTTTAAAACACAGAAAAAGTCCATTCTTGTCATTGTGCGATGTAATATGTACGTATGAACTTTTCAGAAAGTGTGGCTTTCAACGCTTACTATGTAACTGTCTGCAGTCCAGTGTCCGGTCAGACAATGATATTTTCTAAAACTCTTTTGAATGAGGGAGATGCATACAACACTTCGACTGGTATTTTTGTCGCCCCAAGAAATGGGACCTATACATTTGACGCACAAATGTGCATTGTTAATCAGAGATACATGCAGTTTGATATAATGGTAGGATCAACTGTCCATGCGAGTGCCTATGGATATACACAATCCGGCACAGAATGTCCGACAGCACATGCAATAGTAAAATTAAACACAGGTGATAGTGTTACTGTTCAGTGGAAATATTGGTCATATTCTACAATTAGCGTTATTCCGCAAAACGTTCACTATAGAAATTCATTTTCTGGAAAATTGTCAAACCCGTAATGCATATTCGAAATAGTTTGATTATTGATATAACCGGTCTGATGATAGTAAAAAGCAAGGAAAATTACATATGAAAACTTCTTGCCATTCCGTTGATGAAAAATATTCTACATATCCAACATATTCAATGTCTTATAAACGAGAATTTTTCCTTTTTATTTATAAACTATAAGACTATTCTTTATCTAGAGTAGATATTGACACTGAGAATAAAAAAATCAGATAAAGAAATTTGATATGATAAAAACGACGACCGAACGCTCTTTTTTTTAAATTTATAAATTATTTGCAAACACCCGTTTATATCAAATGTTGCTTTCAATATGGTATTTTTATCTATAATTGTATAACCTTGAATGAAGAACTCATATACATGTATATATATATAAATACATATATGAATTTTTACATTTTTATTGTGTATTTTTTACCATATTGTTTTTTATCTATCATACAATTTTAAATTTAATGCGTAAACTGGCAATTAAAAAATATAATGAAAGGATGTCAAAGCCATTCATGAAAGCAGCACATAAAGATATGTTTATACTGTTATCTTTGTATAATATTATTTTTTAGAAGCTTCATTTAACACATCTGGACGAGTGCTGCTTTAAGTACCATATCATTCTTTTATATATATTTTATTTGTAAAAGATTAAAAATCAGAGATCGTAAAAGTGTGTTTATTTGAGTATTTAAAACTGTATAGCATTTTTAAAAGGCCATTTTGTATCACTGTATAATTATAGACACTACATTTCTTCATATATCAATAATATCTAAATGAATGAACTGTTTTTGTGAAAATTGCATTTATTTTCTTTATAAAATAGGTATATCAGATGTAAAAATGTTTTCATGTAAATTATAATTTCTAAAAATGTATCAATGAATATTTTACGTATAATTATATACCTTATACTGTATTATCTTATTGTATAATACCTAAAGAAATAACTGTTTTTTTTTGTTGTAAAAATTGCATTTTTGTTCCTTTATATAATAGGTAAATGTCACATATTCGTTTCGTTGCTTAAAGAGTATCACTATGTTTATCAGATGTAAAAAATGTTTTCATGTTATAAAAATTTCTAACAATGCATCATGATCAATGACTATTTTACATATTATTTTACCTTGTATAATCTTATTGCATGTAATATTTATTTGCACATGAAACATGTTAACGTTACAAAAGTTACAGTAACCAAAAGTAATTTCTTTGATAAGTGTGCACATCCTAAAATAATAGTTTCCATCTCATCAAAACCCATTACATATATTGACAAGAAGAGTTGGCAATTGGAAGAAGAAAAAAATGTTATTTTACGATAAAAGTATTGTTATTATTTCATTGATCCTTTGAAATTCTTTTTAAATTATTATTTAACAATTTTGCTTCAGTATCTAATATCTGTGATTGTGTCAGACATAATGATATAATTGGAAAATAAAAGTAGTAACATACTGTGTGGTGTTTTTCATTTGGTAAAGCTAGATGTTCCAAGAAAAAATCATCATAACCACTTATGATTTATTGAAGTTATACAAAGTCAAAAGAAAGCTAATTATTTTTCAGTAACAATATTACAATTGATAAATTGTACTCTTTCTGTAAACCATGTCTACATACTGATAGTTTGTATTCATTTCTATGAAACATGATGTTTTAATGCAATAAAGTAAATTATAGTGAAAGAAGTAAAAATAGATGTTCACCTCAAAACAAATTTGTGAAAAAGTAGAACATAAGTGTGTTCATAGGTCACTTATGTATTCACTTTATTCAACGTTCATATATTGACATTATTATGCTAATTTCATAGATGTCAATGTTGTATTAATAGCGTGAGACTTGAAACACACTAAATTCCATATTCAGGTTGATACCGAAAAAGGTGCTTGAATGATTAGATGCTAGAATAGTGCATTTTTGCTCTCCGTAATGCGCTTTAAAACGCACTTTAAAACACCAATTTCACCTTTTTACACCGATTCATATACGATCATGACTAAAAATATAAAAATTGTCGAAAAAAGCGGTATTTTTTTCTACTATGTATTCATAATTTCTGCAAGCGTCTTGAGTTTTTGATCCAACACTGTTGTGAGTTAAATCCATGTTAAAAAGTACATGTACATAACAATTATATGAAAAATAAATAGTTTCACAGACCTTTTGGTGAGGAAACTCTTGTTATTGTGAAGGAGTATCCTGAAAACGTCTCTTTGACCATGACCATGTGGTATCAAATAAATAGGTATAAACTTCAAATGAAGAATGTGAATGTTAAACTGAATCCCAGAAAAAAACTAAATAATTCAATGATAACAAAGTGGTGGTCTTTTTAATTCCATACATAATAGTCAATTACTAGCTAAACAAATGGAGCAAAGGATGGTTCAGCTTTATGGCATATTGACAACATTTTCGGTTGACTGCAGTCTTACCAGGTTTTAATACGTTGGTAAATCATTTAGCGTTTGTGTTTTAATAGTGAAATCTCTAAAATTTCAAACGAACTGTTTCAAATCAAATTACAAATCTAGCGGGAAAATGTTTAAGCTGTCATTTCAGTGATATTGTTTTTGGGACAAAATTAAAATAAAATGATTCCTGAAAGGAAAGTCATTAATAAATTATTTAGGATCCAAACAACAGTTTATTTGATGTTGTCACAGTCTACCAGTCCCTTATGAATCCTAGTCATGAACTTACTTACCAGAATTGGTGTCTAAATGTTCGTAATTTAGATATTATAGAGAGAATAATACTCTTATTATACTAGGTAGAAGTCTCAACCACATACACGAAAAACGAAATGAAGTTATCATTGATAAATTGATGCTTAAAAGGAAAGGTGTACATAAAGTAATATTTTTTTTAAAAATAGTCTGTCCTTGAAAACGGGATAATTTGATATATGATATGATTTTCATACATCATACGCTTGAAATTGGTCTCTATGAGCTAATGTACTTCAAATATAATATTTTGCACCTATCCGTTTTTTGGTAGGAAACCCTTCCGGGACTTTAAATTCTATCATCTCATAAAAGCAATCAATTATCATCTGTTGACAGAATTATCATTCTTAATAATTTATGCTGTATGCATTAACGGGAAATATAACTTAAGACGAGTACTTTAATATAGTTTTGACTAGTTTTGTCCATGCTCCAAAGCATGCTTCATGTTGTTAATACACACAGGTAGTGCCCTAAAACACTGTGCATCATTGCAAGGAGTTGAGACCTTTGCTTTTATTTTCAATTTTCATTTGCCATATCAAGTTACTGGTCAATGTTCTCAACAATCAGTAAATAATGAAACACAAAGAATGTAAATGTCATACAATATATTTTTCGTGTAAGCTATCTTTAAATAAAGATATATAAATGTTGTTCCATGTGATATATGATAACAGAAATGAAAACAATGTCCTGGACTTTTTTCTTTAATATTCATCAATACCCAGAACATACATTTTCCTTACATTATTGACGTGCTTTTCTTGTACAAATGCGCAAAACGTAATGCACCATAATCTTCTCAAATCTAAGACCTATGTACATGCAAACTATTATAATTGTTCTGCTTTTCAATGTAACACAAAATAGAATAACTCCTTGCTCAAATGGATTTATTTCTATTTATTTTGGTTACACAAGCTTCGACAATAATATATGTACAGTTCCTGATTTCCAGTTTGATACCCTAATGAAATTAGATAATGGTATCTATCTTATCATTAAACAACTGTAGCGTGAATTTAACATTGAATAAACAATATAGTTTTAATTATGAATCACTGATAAAACAGTACAACAATTTCATCGGTTTCAACAATATTTGATATATGACTTATAGAATTTAGGTCAATTTGGGTCAAAGACAAAAAATAAGCAAAATGTTTTATTGTGAAAAGTGTGCCTATGTTTTAAGCAAAATATCCCATCTCAAACAAAATCACAACATGAATAAAAAACCTTATCAATTGTGTTAAATTTAAAGGTTCCATGAGATGAAAACTCAAACGTTTTTCAAAATTAAGTTCAAAAGGGGGTTTAAAAACACAGTTCTAATGATGCAAATCGTTGTTAACCTTAAACAGTCAAATCCGAGGGTTTATGATGATATTGTAAACCAGTTTGCTTTTCCCTGTGGTTTAATTTAAACAAAACTCGAGGGTTGGTTGTTCGTGATAAATTTGTCCTAGGCACTTAAATATACGATACACTGTCCATTAAATCAACATCACAATCATATCAATACATACAGGTAGCATATATATAGCATAGTATATAAATGTGTCCTGAAAATATACATATTAAGCATTCCTTATCATCATCAATTATATGATACAATACATTGAATTTATTTGAATATATTTAATCCATTAAATCAAAGAATAGAATAGAGAAAATTAGAATCCCTAAAGAAAGCCCAACACGACAAAATTGAAAATGTTACAGGCTCGGTTTGATTGAGCCTATTCATGGACGGTACTGACAAGTGCAAATTACCGTCCACACCCATATCACCGGCTTAATTCTATGTGGAATAATCTAAAAAGTGTACCCTACCTCTAAATACGCACGTACATGTTTATCAATACAAAAAATACATAGCTAGATATATTCACATCATATTGAACTTGCATAGAATGTCTACTTAACCAGTCATTTATAAAATTGTATACAATGCATGATTACCTTAAAAGTCTACAATTATGTTGTTCTAAAATCTATGCCGAATCACTTTTAAATATAATATAACATACCAATTGTGGATCAAACTTCTGCTTCATCACACCTGTCTGTCACACTATGATGTAAATTAAGCTCTACTGTACTTATAAAATTCAGTGCATTACAAATAGAAACTGAACCAGAAATTTCTTTGAAATATTAGACACGATTATTGCTAACATCTTGAACTATAACATTCGAGAATATTTCTAATTTACACAATTATAACTTTAAAGAACAAATGAATAAAACATACTGTTTCTTAATTCTTCAGTCCTTAATTTCTAAGTTTCATTTCACAATGACCAATAACTTCTGATTACACAAGAATGACCTCCGGCGACCCTAACTTTTGGAGGGAGATATTATGGATAAGCAGATAGCTAAATGGTCAAAGGGACATCATCACAGAAAGTAAAGTGTAAGATTAAACAAGGTTGACAGAGTGATTACACAAAGAATGACCTCCGGCGACCCTAACTTTTGGAGGGAGATATTATGGATAAGCAGATAGCTAAATGGTCAATTGGACATCATCACAAAAATCAAATAAGGTCGACAGAGTGGTCTTCCTTTGAAATTAACAATTAACCCTAAAAACACTGGGTTACAAAATATATGCATCATTTCACTGTCGAAAAAAAATCAACAAAAGAAAAACATACGTCGAAATCAGTTATTCCGCGTTCAACATGCTAATTGGACGTTATTTGATAGTTATTTCATGATAATAATTCTACCGAGACAGTCATTGTATAAAGCTGTTATACATTGTGACCTGAGTCATGCATCGACAAATGGTCACACGAATCTTTACGTTAATGCATGTTTTGTCCTTTTTGGAATGTATACCTGCGTACACAGTTTTTATGCAAGAATAATATATTTAACTATATTTAAAACAGTTAGTAACACATGTTTACCTTTGAAGTGAATTGGTCAACAATGAGCACATTTATCGTTATATTAAATATTGATACAAACAGTAGAAATGTATATTTTTTTCAAATAATTATGGAAAACAAAATGTTAATGGAACTCTAGAGTGATTCATATTTAAAATATACTAGTATATAATGAATAATAACATTTGTTCTAGAACGCTTTATAAACTGCTATATATTAATATGTCATATCGGGTAATACATGCTACACTTAATCTACTTACAACATATATATATAATTATTTTGTAGATGGTAATTAATACTATCAACATAAATATTGATGGTATCAGGGCTCTCCATTATAGACCAATTCACTTTAAAATGAAGTGACCAATCACTTACTTCTATGATTCCCGCTTTGTATTTGTTAACACCGTCTTGTGGATTTCTTAACTTGTTAGCTAGTTGCATAAGTTATATATATCTTTCTTGGGGAGACCCTCGAGGATCGAAGACCCTTTTGGTAGGGCACCTGCTTAAACTTGACCAAGGAGCCTATTTCTTTTATACCATCCTCACAAACCTTACTTTATTTGGTTTCGGACCCTTGCCATTTAAAGGGAGACTGTAAAAATTTATATAAAGCACGTGCTCTATTATGACCGATGAGAGATTAACTTTCCGTTTAAAATATTCTTTTATAACAAATCGTATTCCTATTATAGCGTAAATTATTCAGGTTCTTTTCCTCCACTATAGCTATGCTTAAATGTTTCTTCCATTTCAACTGAATGTTTACAGATTTCATGATTTTTTTCTCCATTTTTATTATCTTAGCAGACTGTTGCTTATTTATTCATTCTTTTCCTAAGTCAAAACTGTTTGCAAATCAAACTTTTGCTCAATTACATTTAGGTCTAGCTTGATTAATAATTTGTCAACTCTTGATTTGATTAATGTTATATTGTGAGCTTATTTATCTTTGGTGTCTCTAATTTCTTTTTGTGTTGATCCTTTCTCATCTGTTAGTTCCAACTTGTTAAGTTCTATTTATATATCATGACTTGGGGTCGAGGGGGGGGGGGGCTGGAGGGATGGGGCGAGAGCGGTTATCATCTTTTGGAGGAGAAGTTGTTTTGACCAAAACTTTACACATATTTGGGTACTTTAGGTTTCAGATTTCTGGGCTCCTTGCCGGTGGCCCTGTGTTGCTGGCATGTGGGTGTTGCTTATGCTAAGCATCATTTATACTCTGTAGCAAATAACCGTTTAAACACGGATTTCTTTAGGACTAAGGCAGACATTTTTATAACATTTCCAGACTTAGTGTCAAAATAGTTTAAGTAATAGTAGCAAAAACGACAGACGTTCAGTGCTATTGGAAACGGTAGATAGCTACTTTAAGCGTATTCATCAATATTTTTGAAGTCTGTTTTTATATTGCGCATTAACATATGATAAAAAGTATTTTTGTACCAAAGAATCAAATACATTCATCTTTTTTTTACAAGTTTGTATGATAATATTATTTTTAAAACAATTGTTTGTTTTGTCTGTAAGCAAGAAAGATTTTTCAGATTACAAAAGGGAAGAGTTTCGTGTTATTTTCTATAGTGGTACAATTAAAATTATAAATGAAACAATAAGTTGAAATATATCACAAAATATTATTCAATTCATTAATGGTTTAAACAATTTTTATATACTCATACATGCACCATTAGACAATGTTACTAATTTCTTTACAAGGGGAACATAAAAAGATCTTGAAAGAAGGGATCCCCGACAAACAAGCAAACAAACAAACAAAAACAAACAAAAAACAAACACACAAATATGAGTCCCTTCATGAGAGATTATGGAAAGTGCAACATTTCTCACGCCCCCAGTATCTGCCTCACAAACATTCATCCATTAACATTTAAGATATTGAAAGGATCTGATCATATATCAACATGTAGACAACAAATAAAATTATATTTAAATGCGGAAATAAATACAGATAAATAAATAATAAATAAATAAATAAATAAATAATAATAAATACAGATGTATAATTCACGGTTAACGTTGAAGCAATTTTTAAAATAAAAAGGAAGATATAACAGGAATCATGAATTTATTTGTTTATGATATCTTTACGCTCTTGATAATTTCCCCAGGGACTTTTATTATTTAAATATAGCTCTGAAATTTTCCTTTAGATTTTGTTTTGAAAGTTTTACGTATCTGTCCATGTGCAGCGTAAGGAAGTTAAAGTTTATTTTCGGGTTGGTCACGATGATAATCTTCCTTTGTTTAAAAAGATGTTTTGGTCTAGTAAAGATCATGTGGTTTAGAGTGATAATAATCAAAGACAATCACTAACTCGGGTATGATTTAGGCCAGTTTTGTGCTTCAAAACAATAAACAAGTTTTTGTACTCAAACTTGTCAAACCTTAAGGCCAGTTAATTTTTTTTATTTTATTTAAATTGTTATATTTAAGTATAAAAGATTCAACCTGTAAATAAGAACTTTATGTTTTAATAGAAAAATGATCAGTAAATATAAACCATTACCACTGCCTATAATATTATTTAAAAATTTGCACACATTTTATTGTATAATTTAATATTTTGTAATCTGTGTCTTCTAAATGGAGAGTAAGTTCTGTTCTGTATTAAAGTAAATGGAATATTCCTCGACTTCTGTTGAGGATAAAAGATCGCCTCATCACCTTTTTGTCTTTTTTCTTTTAAGTTTTAAGCAACCAGGAATGGTAGGATTTTTAAATACAATAATGCTAAATTATAGGAAGAAATATGCAAAACGAGTTTGCAATTTTCATACAATATTTTTTGTTTTTATTGTTTTCGAGGGATCGTGGCTTTCATTTAACAATATACACAATGAGTTTTACGTTTCATGAATGTCATCATAAAATTGAATATTTTCTACCACTCATTTTATTTTCCTGTAATGTTAGTTTGGGTATGACACATGATCAAAATATTCTTAATTCTCTGTTGTCTTTTAAGTAACATTTCCTTCAGAAGAAATGACAATTTGATAACAAGGAATCTAAATTATGATATATTCATTGGACACTATTAATAACCAATGAAGAAAACAAACAAACAAACAAACAAACAAACAACGAGAACATCTGTCCATTATTGAAAATTATTGATTGGCTTACATTTTAATCAAGTTTGTCATATTGCTATAATATGAACATTAAGGGAGAAGCAGCTCGCGTAAGAAATAGACAAACTACTAAAAGTTTGCTGTTACCATTTTATAAAATACATTTTACAGGTTTCTTTCTAACAAAATATCTATAGATGGCGTCTAAGATCATGCAAGTTTGTTATTTTTTACAGACATTTTTATGATTAGGTGATAATTGTTTTAGATTACGAAGCTTCAGTTCGAATAACACTCTGTAAGCACAAACATGTACTTCTTTTTAAAAAAAATACTATTTCTTACCACGATTAAATATCAAAAACATGAAAATATAAAAAGTGATGATCACTAGACAACACAAAAACACAAGCATAAAGGTTGCAATTGCAGATTGTACAGTTCCCCGACAGTACATGTTAAAACGTTTTATTTTTTAATTTACAACACCATGTCAAACATTTAAAATCGGGGGAAAGACCTTATATATAAACAAGTTAATATCTTCAATAATGATGATATGTTAACTACAACTTGTGGTATAACTTAGCTTCTGATTATTATGATAAGTACCTTTTATCTAAAGGACATGCTATGTACTTCTGAAAATTGTGAGAAGCTCTCCTTTTATGTATTGATACAAATGTATTTCCCAGAAAATAATACAAGTGTTTGCTTTGACTTGGAACGACTTATATAAAATAAATATAAACGATTTAGATTGCACCTGATGATGAATGTCAAGAAAAGACAAATACAAAAATCTGGAAAAACTTTGATCCCTCGGAAGCATTAATCACAACAACAGTAAACTGCAGACTCGGTTTCATTGAGTCTGCACATAAGTCATTTCCAAATAAAACGTTTTAAGATAACAGTTTAAACAATTTATATAAGTGTATATAAGCAAAAACAAAAAATTGAAAAGTGTTTCAAGAATGCATTTTTGTTATACTGATATACAATATAAACTTTGCATGCTAACTTCGTTAAGTACGAAAGAAGCCAGATGTAAGACGTAAAACATTTGCATAACATTCTATTAGCCTCTGAAGCAAACACTTATTTTTCTTCCTGTTTTTATTTGTCTTTAAAAACACGTCGCATGCGCCCGGAGCACCAAAGGCGTTGCATGTCTTCACGAGGTAAGTGAGTATTTTCAAATTGTTTCTTTACCTCTAAATTCTACAAAATGTCAAAAGTGCAGCTATTATTTTAAAATACTTAATATCTAAATTCATAATGAATACCTTCAAAAATTTATTTATTAATAACAGATATTGCTCATTTGTTTTCAATAATTTCTTTTATAAAGAAATATGCATTTATTAAGTAATCTATTTTGTCAATGCTCTTAAAACATAATGTAATTTAATATTTAGAAATGTAACGTGTAAAACAACGTCGAATATTAAACTGCGATTGCAACTTTGTATGACATCTTTTGAAATGCAAAATAAACAATACACAGCTTTTAAGTTGATACTTAATACATTTTACCATTATTGAGAAATTTCTTGTGCAATGTATTGTCTAAAGTGAAATGAATATACATGTATTACTATTTTATTTGTTTAAAGTTATCTTCGTTATTAGACAGACATTGTTTTCAGTATGATTCACTTTATTCAAATAAAATCATAAAAATGAATAATATAGGAATTATCAAAAAATTCAATAAACATATTTTTGTTTCGTGTTATCTTCATTTTGTGACATACTTTGCGTTCATTATGGTTCATTTTGATAAAATTTAAATGTTATGATATGGGAATAATAGACAGAAATTTAAAAATATTGAATACAAAACATCGTAATTTTAATACATACTTGTTTTCAGCGTTCAACATTTAGGATTACTTGTGCAAAGGAAAAGCCACCATGATGCTTTATAAGGGTTAGTTTAAATATCTTTATTATAAATAATAAAAGCCCCATGTTATCAATTAACAAGACACAAAAACAAAAAAAAGCATTTTATGCAATGTTGTCATGATATATACTACAATTATCGATCCATTACAACCTTCGAAATTCTTACTTTATTATAATGTAACTAAATGTTTTCAAGTTTACTATACTATACTTGTACTACTTACTTTCTATGAGCTTTTAAAGAAACTCCACTGACTATTTAGAATGATCAATTTTGAGTCAATTTCAATAATAGAATAATTGTTCTGGAACACACTTAGTAAGTAAATAAACTGAAATTTTGCACATCGGTTAATGGGTTTTTCAGGATTTCTCCTTTTCCTGTTGGCTGCTCCTGGAGACGTTGGTAAGTTCGATTATATAAATTTCATGATCTTTTTATTATAAATAGACAAACAGAACTTGATAAGTTTGGTTCATTTTTATATCATGATTATAGGAAACAAGTACGAATATTTCTTCAGAGAAAATGGAGAAAATAACATTATTAGCAATAATTCAAAAGTAAATAAATTACTCATTTTAGTAAATACCAATGGTTTAAATAACTTAAGGTCTATAGTTTCGCGTCGGTAAAGGATAAATATACGAAACGAAGATAAAAGAATGAATCGTACAGGTTGTCTGGGTGAAATAACCCGAAACTACACTAACATTACAATGCATATAATATTTCTAAATGTAAATATTACAAATGATGTATTTTTTCAGCTTCATTATCTTGTTATTCGTGCGACAACGTTGACAGTTTAGATAGTTGTAAAACTATAACAACATGCGGGAAAAGAGAAGTAATAATATATTTTCATCTTAATATATATGGCCCTTTAGTATATGCGCTATTGGATTTTTTTTAAAGTATTAATATCGTGTTTCGGGTAAGAGTATGTAAGGTAAAAGTGTTGGCTTTATGATAATTCATATCGTTATTGACTAAAATGAAAAATATACCACGTACATATTTATATTGCCCGAGAGTCCAAGTGAAAATGAATATCCCAAAAATGATATTGTTTAAACAAGCCACTTAAAATTAACTTATTTGCAAGGATTAAAAAGATTCGTCAAGGACATTTTGATATTTGTTTGTTTGTTTCGGGTTTAACGTCACATCGACACAGAATAGGTCATATTGCGACGTTCAAGCTTTACTGGTGGAAGAAGACCTCAGGTGCCCTTCCGTGCATTGTTTCGGGCACGAACGGGCACCTGAGTAGAACCACCGACGTTTCGTAGGCTAGCTGGATAGCTTCCTTACATGAAAGAATCCAAAGTCCATGTTGGGATTCAACCCACTGCGGTGATGGGCAAGTGGTTTGAAGTCAACGACCTTAACCACTCGACCAACGACGTCCCAAACATTTTGATATATTTGGCTACAAAAATTAATTTGCTTCCCTGGAATACTTCCTTTATAATTCTGATATGTAAATTAGATATTTTAGGACTTAATGAATTGTTTTTGTTATTTTGCCATAAACAGTTAAACTCGAAAAAAAAAATGAAACAAGCAGAACCCCAAAAACAAAAAACAACAACAAAAAACAAGAAAAAAACATATAAAATCTTCATTGTATTGGCAGATAACGGATACAATTTCAAATGCATTCGAATGATAATCATGTAAATAAATCTAATTGTTTGAAAACGTTTAGATAAGTTGATGTAAATTTTGTCATGTTGTTTCGTTTGACATCTGACTTCTTTTAAGATGATATTTTAAGCGAATAATTTACTTTTTCGAACTTTTTTTATATTTCTTGTCAAAGTTAATTTCTCCTTTTACCTTCAGTCATGTTTCACACGTTTACAAAAGAAAGGAAAATCTGCCTTATTTACACTCGGATGTACACGAAATGAGGTGAGATACATTTGTTCCACTATTATATATTTTTAATTACTACTAATAAAATAAACACATTTGCCTTTTTCAAAATTATAAGACTAATAAAATATCATTATTAGTTTATATAAAAATGCAAATGATGGCATAGAGATAGCTTTGATTTAGCAATATTACTTTAATTCAAATTACTTATAATATTTTTGATAGTTCTTCACTTTGTTTCGACATAAAAACAAACACATACAACAAGTAATTTGCCATACAATTCTGGAAACAACAACATTAAAATTCTTTGCCTAATACGTTAAAGCTGAGCATAATAATTAATCACATTGGCAAACCTACATTCAAAAGCCATTATATTATCTATCTGTGATGAAACCTTTTCCGCAAATGACAAATATATAAGCACAAGACTTGTGCATAAATGATATGTTTTGATGTGAAAATTTTAAAACCGCATTTATGTTAAATCATACTGACTTTGCCTTTAATCATATCATCAGTAAAAATTGCAAAAACAATGTTTTAATTTTTTCAATGGAATGTTTTTACAATGAACACAATCATCTCCATTTTTACAGAATTGCGGTAGCATACCAGTATACACTTACGTGTCAAAGTTGAGTAGTGGTCAACAGATACAAGAATGTGAAGAATGCTGCGGTATTGATCGATGTAACAAAGACCTATGCAACCACAAAACCCGTAAGTAGCCTTATTCATCCTCTATCAGTAAATTTTCAAAGTTGGAATACTGATGGTTAATACGATTTTAGCTTGAGTATTCAAAGAATAAAGACAGCTATTCTAGTTCCCCGAGCGCCGGCGTCGGGGTCGGCGTAACCACTTAAGTTGAAGATTGCGTACAGCCTTAAATATTTTTAAAGTCCATTGACATATGACTCTGAAACTTCGCAAACGTGTATACCCTAACCTGTACATATGAGGAGGTAACTCTAACAAATATTTTGACAAAAATATGCCCCCTTTTCGACTTAAAATTAACATTAAAGTTTATGTACCACCTCAGATAATCCATTGATATATGGCTTTGAGATTTTGCACACTTCTTCACTATCAAAATCGCTAAATTTCACTGTATCAATATTTTTTACACATTTATACCAAATTTTACTACTAAGAGCTGGGAATAGTCGAGCACGCTCTAATAAATGTATATAGAAATGTATTTCCAGATGACATGCCCTAACTGTGAACGATTGATTTTCTCTTTAAGAGGAGAAGATTTCTTACTCACTCACCCGTTCGCTCGCCCACTCACATTAATAACGTCTTAAATAATTCATTTCAATTTAAGCACCCCCTTGCAGCGATAATATGGAAAACTGTGCATTCTGGAACAAAGATTTTGACATCTGTGAAGATATCCATAAAGCTAAGTTACACTGTCGTAAATTCTGCAAATTGTGTGATCTAGGTAACTATGATTTTTCTGTTTTTCTAATAAAGTGTTCAGAAAATCAAAATGCGATTTCTTTTATTATTTCTGTTTATTAATTTTTTTTTTAATAAAGATAAAGGTACTTAAAATTCGTAAAAGAATGGCAGTTTTTTTTGGAAAAAAAAGCACAGGTTAAGGGAAGAAGTGGACAAAATATCCACCCTTATTTGGTTTTGAAATTTTTCATATTGACTAAACCTAAGGTGAGCTTCATGCAGAAAAGGAAAAATAAGGTATCGTTTCCTTTCATTGCAAATTATCCGCCCTTATTAGCAAAAACGTCCAATTTAAGGGTAGATAACTCGAAAAATGAGAGCACCTAACGTTTTTCTGTTATCATATTCTAACAGCATGCCTAATTTAAAGAAATTATATTGAACTGTTGTAATTTTGCCTTTTTGTCTAAATGAAAATTCCCTAAAAGTCCTTATGTTTGATTTTCGTTTGCACACATCTACGTGTGCTGCTATTATTTATTTTAAGTTGATGGTAACTGGGCCGATTGGTCATCGTGGTCATCATGTGACGTCACATGCGGTCATGGAAAACACTCTAGAATTAGAACGTGCACCAACCCTGCACCTGCATACAAAGGTCTGGAATGTAATGGAACCGACACGGACTTTAAACCTTGTACTCGACCTTTATGTCCAGGTAGAATATACAATTAATACTTCATTTGTTAATTTGTATTTTCAAGTTTGAGCCACTTTGAGATTATTTTGTAAATATGAAAAATAAGTACCGTAAGATAATGAACAATTTATTGAATAAAATGGTATAATGAAACATAATTCGATTTTTCTTTGGGGTTAAGGTGCTTATAAATTTAGGATAGCAAAAATAATCAGTATGCCTTTTATTGAGCAAGGTTATATTATGCATTGCCAGATGCACTGGCATGTTGAGCAATTAGCATGGAAAATGTCACTGATACATCCAGAAAAATATTAAACCTAATGATATTTTTTATCTATGTATGAATTTAAATTCATATACAATTTCAGTTCATGGGGGCTGGGCGGAATGGTCAAGCTGGGAGCCGTGCCCTGTTACTTGCGATATAGGTATACAGAAAAGACATCGTAAATGTACTAACCCGTCACCACTACGACATGGTAACCATTGCTTTGGTGAATCTATGGATGTAAAATTATGCAAGCAAAAGCCATGTAATGGTATGTGTAAGTTTATATTTGACAAAATTCTTTAACGTGGTATTTAATTTAAAAACGTTAACTCTTCTTTTTTCATACTGAGGCTAAAGCCATTTGTCATGTACACTTTATTCTAATGTATCAACCTTATCTATTTAGCACGTTGACATTTTAATAATCTAAATATATGTCTGTAAATATTAAATTCATCTATCTACTTCAATATCTTTTGTTTCATTAATGAAAACCAACTGTCAGAAAATCACACTTATTGTACAATTTGGTGTATAAACTATAAGGTTATTATACATTCTTGAGTACACTTCGAGTAGACAACTGCAAAGCTTTATTGTACGAGAAGAAATATGTCCTGCATTTGTGAACGAGTCCATTAGAGTCAGTATTTAACATAATAATGTGACATGCTGTCACAGTCGATCAAAGTTTTAAGCAACAAGAGGTACAGAATTAATCAAGGGGATAAACTGATATGATTGAATCTAATAAAGATTAATAAATGAGTACCATATGGTCCAAACATTAGAAATTTACTTGTGTAGTATACTTATTATTGTTTAAATAGAATTAAACGGAGGTTGGTCTGCATGGAGTACGTGGAGCACTTGTAGCGTTTCTTGCGGTGACGGGTTCAAGACAAGGTCCAGATCATGCACAAATCCAGAACCTGGAATTAACGGAAAACATTGCGTCGGAGATAATATGCAAGTAGTTACCTGTAACAAGGAGGATTGCCGTAAGTAACTTGACTCATTAAAACGAATTTGCATGTTCAATTTTATATGCATATTGTTATTGAAATGCAACCATACTCATTCCAGAGGAAATTTGATACTTATATTTGTGTGTTGCTATATGATGCTTTTATTTACCGACTTTGAATTGCTCATAAACGCAAGAAAATTGTATATAATTTTATTACATTTATAAAATTTCTAAAGGTATTATGACTCAATATGAACTGTATGACCAAAGCCTTAGCGAAACACCGTTTTTCAAGGGAAGTTATCCTACAATCGTTGTGCAGAAGTTATATATCTGTAACACAGAATGATGTCTGTACTTGGAAGGAAATAATGAAAAACAGTGGAAAATCATTCACTCAAGACCCATGTAAAAAGATTCTTACGACCTCAAGCTTTCCACAAACTTTTGATATTATAACATGCCGCAAATGATATAATTATTGTTATTTAATAAAATAGATTTTTCGAACTTTATTGGTATAAAAACTTTGTATACTTTGTCGTATATACCGTGAAAAATGGATACGTCCATGACTTCCTTGTTAGCAACTTGTATGATTATGTCACCCAAAAATTTAAAGAGACATACTGTTCTTGCCATCGCCGTCTATCTGTTGTCTGTCGTCCTCTTAAAGCTTGTCCGACTTTCGTTTGTCAAACAGTTAAACTGATTTCGATAAAACTTCACAGGAGTGATCAGTACCATATGTTTATGTGTCAACTAGCTCTCCTTGTTAATAATGTTAATAATTATAAAAATTACAAAAAACCTATCAATTTATTGTTTCCTTACCAGAGCTAGACTCAAGTGTGATTTTTAACGCCTACTCCGGAGCTCAATACAGTCCACGAAGCGGCCAAACTATGATCTTTTCTGAAACACTATGGAATGAGGGAGTAGCGTATAACAATTCAACTGGAATATTCACTGCCCCTAAAGTTGGAACGTATATCTTTTACGCACAAATGTGTGTACCTATTGGTATCTATATCTATTTTGATATAATGGTCGAATCAAAAGTTTGTGCAACTACCTACGGATACCAATCCGCCAGCGGGCATTGTAAATCGACACAAGCGATTGTTAAGTTAATGGCCGGTGAAAAAGTATTTGTCAAATTGAATTCTAAACAACAATATTATAGAAATTCTCCGATTAGATCCTCACCATACTACAGGAATTTTTTCTCTGGAAAATATTCCAACCCGTAATTGTTTGAACGAAAAACCGATTTTAAAAAGCTATAATATATATGCATCAAATATTGCAAATAATTCATATGTGGATAATCCAAGTAAGAGTTCATTTAAGCTTTATTTATTTATTTTGCGGTTAACTTGATATTTTTGTATGTTTATATCATAATTTTGTTTCACATTTTATTAACCCCGCCGATGGAATCGGGAGGGTGATATTGTTTTTGAGTTGTCCGTCTGTTCTTCCATCCATCCGTCTGTCCTTCCGTCCGAATTTCGTTTCCGCGCTGCAAATACTGGCTGGAATTCAACAAAAATTGATGGTAACCATCAATACGAAGAGGAAATGCGCATATCGTGTATCGGTCCGACTCTTCAACACAGAATTATGGCCCTTAATTTGTATATAGAGCAATAATAGTTTCCGCACCACTCCTCTGCAAATACTGACCGGAATTCAAAGAAACATTATGGGAAACAGCAACAGAGGAGATACGCATATCGTCGCCTTGTTTCGGTCAGATCGCTCAACGCAGAGTTATGGCCTTTGATTTGTTATGCAATATGAATGTACAGCAATAATCGTTTACGTGCTATTTCTCTGCAACTACTGGCTTGAATTCAATGAAACTTTATTGAAATCATCAATACTAAGAGGAGATGAGTATATCTTTACCTTGTTCAGGTCAGACCTTTCAACACAGCGTTATTTCCCTTGATAAGTCATGAAGTATTCATATATAGCTATATTGGTTTTTTCTTTGTAACTGATGTATGATTTCAATAAAACTTCATGGGAACCATCAATACAAAACTGGCATAGAAAACCCACTAAATTATAGAGGAATAACTTTTATTAATATTCTATCAAAAATCTACTCTCAAATTCTGTTAAACCGCTTGACTAACTGGACTCAAACAAACGAAGCAATCATTGAAAATCAATTTGGCTCGCAGGCAGATTAATCAACAATTGATTGCTTTTATAATGAAAACTGGAATAGAACACAAAAACATATAGCAAAACACTCTCTATATGCACTTCATAATTTATTTATTATCTATAGCCAATTAAATCTCAATACAAAATAAAAATGTAACTTATTCGAAAGTCTTGTAGAATCAATTTTGAAATATGGCTCAGAAATATTTGGGTACCATAGTGCAAATGATATAGAAGTGATTCAAATTAAATTCATGAAAAAAAAGATTGCACTTTCGTAAATGTACAACCCCTGTTGCATAATATGGTGAACTAGGAAGGTATCATCGTCAAATAAATTTAATTAGATGTTGGATATGAATAGAAAAATCAGATGATAATACGTACATTAATTAAAACGACATACAATATGCTTAAAGATGATTTCAATAATGGTGATAACTATAATGGTCTTTATTGGGTCGGACATGTTCAACAAATGTTCAATGAAATAGGTGTGTCAAACATTTAGCTATCCCAAAATGCTGACCTCGTATCTTTTATCTTTACAAACTATTAAACAAAGAATAATTTATATATATTGGTATATTTGTATCATGCTGAAATTAGAAATTCAAATAGACCATGTAGACTACTGTCATATAGCTGGTATAAGAAAGAATTAAAAGTAGAACGATATCTAGATGTAATACCAAATAGTAAATTTGAAATAGCACTGAAAAGATTCCGATTATCATCCCATGATCTAATGATTGAAAAAGGAAGACATTTAAATATTCCTAGAAATGAAAGAATATGTTCAAATTGTAATATGAATGTTATAGAAAACGAGTACCCAAAATATACTAACCTAAGAAAAACTTACTTCAATCTATAGTTTTGCCATTGGCTTACTAAGCAAATATTTATCTCACTTATGAATTTAGACTCTGTTAAAAGTATAATCAATGTCAGCAAATTTATATACAAAGCTTTCCATATGCAACAATTCTTCTTTATTCCAAAACGTATTTCATTATCATAATTTTCACTGTTTGGTTTTCTTTTTATCATTTGTAAGAATTTTAAGTTAATACAATACAATGAAATGGATCTCCAACCAATCCATATTTGAATTGTTTTACAAAATGTATTTAATGAACACAAAAATTGCTCGCATATATGTAACAAAAGAAAAATATTCTTTGTAATATGTTTTACTATCGAAGTAACACAACAGATAAATGATAATAATGATGAGAAATATTGTTAAGGAACGACTTCAAAAAATCAATTATATTCACTCTGTTATTTTTTTAAAGATTAATTATTATAAATCATTTGTATCTGTTAATCATGTACATGCCTTTATATGCTTGTATTACATATTGAACTGACTATACATTGTATATGTTGTTACATTTAATGCAGAATAAATGTTATGTTGTATGTGTTTAACACGGAGTAATGGCCTCTGTTAATGTCCTTAATTTGTATCATGTACAAAGAATATTACTGTTTATGATATAATAAATATATAAATAAAGCCTTTTGTCTCCAGTTGTTGTGTAAGAAATAACCAGTACTCGGCGGGGGATATGAATTCAACGTGTATGCTTGTTGTTACATAATGACGAAGTCACAAGAACAACAATTTCAAGCCTGATATCTATGCATTCCCGCACTAAGTCTTATTGACAGAGACACAAAATTTGTCCTACATGTTAAATACTAAGGTTGTAGAGGCAAGGAATGCTTAAGTCTTATTCAATATTTGAAAATATGAATTGTTTCAGACCCAAAACAACCCGGAAGACTCTTGCATCAATAGTAAAAAAGATGGTAGTGCATAATAGTTTTCCTTTTTTTACTAGTGAAATGCAAATTATTAAAATGAAAATTTTGAAAGTGTTCTTCTCGAAGATATATATTAAAAACAAAAGATACACGTACCCGAAAGTAAAAAATAAGTTCAATATAAACCTGGGACTGTATCTTGAATCTGCGAAACTTGTGACAAACTGACAACGTTTTGAGGATATTTGTTTATTACTTTTCATAAACCTTTCTGTGTCTGTATATTATGTCTCTTTCATAACTGACATGAATTAAAATACTTCTATCTAAATCAGCATTTGTTTTTTATTTAAGATGCAAACAAACTGTTTGTTCGTTCTTCTTTTGTTTTGATTGAAATGCTGCTACAAATTAAGTCTACAAACTAGCTAAAATTTTGGAAGGAAGGTCACATCACACCGGTGTATTCCAAAACTAATGGCAGGGAATGATTGAGTCTGTTAAAAAAATAAAATATAAATCAACTTGACATTGACTGAACAGACTTGAATGTAGTAGAAAACCATAACGAAGAATTGGTTTCAATTTGTTAATTTTTATAACACGGCACGTAATTATACGATCAAATGATCTCGTTATATCTTTAAAAGGCAAATAGCTTCATAATTCGTTTGCACGATTCTGTCCGCATTCGCCTTTTACAATATTTTAACATTTTTGTTATTAAACAAGCACAACTTATTCGCATGATGAGTTGTCGTTTCACCAAAAGGCCCATATAATCAGTCCGTTGTCGCTACAATTTTCGTAATTGTAAATCGTCGGCCAATATCGAGTATCCGATTGATAACAGTTACGGTGGTAGGCGCTGTCGTTACCGAAAACCCTTCGAAACGATACTTTAAGTAGTTTTTTTCGGAGCAACATTTCGATAAGCACTGTTAACATATTCAATAGCTCTCGCTCACTAGAATTAATTTATGGCGCAGAAACTGACTGAAACCGATTTTTGTGTGGCACTCATGCTTGCAAATTTGTGCGGAATATGCTAATCAGGAAAAGTGACATCACATGTTATAATAATGTAATTATGAATATGCTAAACATAGCGTTCACGCGATTGTGGTAATGCATTAACCATATAAGATTATTATAAACGGGTTCACACGAAAACAATTTTGTTCCGGATCTCACGAAATGAGGTTGTATCGAGACCATTATTTATAAACTAATGTTGATATGTGTATTTAGCATGATCATTAATTAATCCGTTATTTCAAGCTCACTTTGAATTGCCATGATAACAATGTTACAGTCACCATTTTTTCTGCGAGCTAATTGATCATCCCTCGTATAATGCAAATTTGGCTGAATTAACACTCAAAAGAACATTAATTTTTACGTTTATGTAAATCATAAAAGTTATTCCACTGCCCTTTTATGCAACAAAATCTTAACAACGTTAAAGACACATTATGTTTCAGAATTCAATACTTTTTAATTCTTTAGAAATGTCAGACATGCATCTATTTATGTTTTATTAGAGCATGTCAGATGTTTAAAAACTAAAGAGAGTAAAGTAGAGCTTATCGTGCATAAAGGAAGCTTAATGAAAACAAAGTGTTATTTCGTCTTCCATACAAAATACTTATTCACTATCACTATACCAATTGCCAACAGGGCAAAGAAGAAAAAGGTTGTTCATCAATGTCGTAATTGAGTTATTCTTTTGGGATCTATCGGATCAAGATATCAACATATTTTAGGAAAATAAAATTAATAGCATTTTTAAGGCATAATGGGCCATTTAAAACAAAATGTACTCCAGATAATATTTTTTCCCCCGAAATTTCGTTGACTTTATAAAAAAATTAAAGAACATTTATTATATCGCCGCACATGGAAGGACTAATGCCACACGGGCAATGCTGAAATACGTCTTTGTAAAAAACACCATTTTTATACTACCTTAAAGTGAAGCTTCGGAGCTATTGCAATGACCGTAATAACCTCGGACAAACGGGTGGCTCGCTATTAGTCACGGAAGATTATGTGAATTTCATCAAAGTAAGCTGAATATATTTAATGGCATAAGAAATCGGCGCACCAACGAAAATATATAAGCCACGTGGGCATTTTCCGGTCATTGTTCTATGACTTTAAGGGCAAGGATATTGTGCGTTACATTACCGTCAATAAGGGATGCCAAGCCAGTTAGGGGTCTTTTTTAGTTCAAATCAAAGGTTTAATTCAATAATTCAATGGTCAGTAAAGATTTCTGTGTAGGAAAAGTAGGTTCCTCAATACTAGAACACTCCTGGTCCCCTCTCCTGTTAAATGTCCTTTTGACTATGCCTCTGTTGCTTGGTTTAATTGTTTGTTTCAGGATCTTGAATGTCCATACTTGGGCCTATTACCGGTCTTTGACTTGGAGTGGTACCATGAAATTTATATTTTCGTATAAATACTTCAAGCTATTGCACAAAAAATGTCAAGGCAAAATTCACTCTTACGCGCAAGTAAATTATAGTCAGCCTAGTTAAGAGGTTGCCAAAACCTCCAAAAGTCGTTGTTGCCACCGTACCTCGAAACGGATCCACACAAATATTATAATATAACAAAACAGTCAGATTCATACGAAACAGCCACCGGAAAATCTTTGCACCACCGGGATAGTGGCAAACTTCACTACCATTTATAATTACCCTAAACACTTAAAAATCATTTCATCTGATAGATTTAATGTTAATTATAAATAATTGACTTCATTTTAATCTATTTTAAATTTTTTTCTTATCAAAAATTGTATTTTAAAAAAAAATTCCGGGCGGAAATTCATGTATTCCGCCCGGAATTATGCTGTCCGGCCGGAATTTACTTATATTCCAATTGGAATTTTTTCCAACATTATAATTTATTCCAACGGGAATTTCAATTTTTCCAGCAATGCTTAAACTATAAAAATAACCATTCATACATCCTTTAATGACTTTCTGACTAGTTTTGAAGAACTTATTCTCTAAAATAAAAAAATCCCATTTTAAAAGCTGGAAAAAATTCCGACTGGATTTTTACAGAAAAATTAAAAAAAGCATAAAAGCGATAATAATTAAAGGCAAATGATAGTTTTCGATAGAAATTAACATAATTATACACCCTGAATTACCAATAAGGTGCTTTGAAAAAAATGAAAATCCGATTGGATTTATTTCCAATTATTTTTGTTGGAAAAAATTCCAACTGGATTTTTTTTCCAATAAAAGTTATTGGAAAAAAATCCAACTGGATTTTCATCAAATAATTCATTTTCAAATTATTTTACAGTTATACA